AAGTTGCTTACTTTTGCTAAGACCCTACTAAACTACTCTTCCTACACTAATGCGTTCCTAACAACACTACTTAGACGCGCTAAAAGAATGTTAGATACAGCTTACACTCTAAGCTTTTAAATAAGACATAAAACTCTTAAAGAAACATGCTACAGCTATGTATAGAGTTTTTTAAAAGACAATAAATAACTACAGCGCTAGACAACCTTTATAAGCTAATTCTATAGCTAACTTATAGAAGCTAGGTAATAAGAAGAAGCAGGTAATTATTAAGACTATACTTAAGCTATATATGCAAGGATTTTCCCCTTAGATAGCATTTATAGCTAATATAGCTAATTCTTTACGCGCTAAGCATAATCTAGGCTATGTTAGCATAAACTAGCCTAGTATGTTTGTAAAGTGTTATTTAGAGCTTAAAGTAAAGTTTTAAGCGCAAGTATAGTTAATAGATATTTAGCCTATAATAAAGCCTGTCTTGCTAAAGTTGTACATGTTATTATTCTAGATGCTATACTTAGCTTTAATATTCTCTACAAGGCTAAACCTGCCCTAAATTACCCTAGGACTCTTACAGAGGGCTCTCTTATAGTTGTACTACGCGTAAACGTTACTTTAAGGTCTAAATAACACTTCCTAAACATACTAGGCTAGTTTATGCTAATATAGCCTAGATTATGCTTAGCGCGCAAAGAATTAGCTATATTAGCTATAAATGCTATCTAAAAGGAAAATCCTTGCGTATATAGCTTAAGTATAGTCTTAATAATTATCTGCTTCTTCTTATTACCTAGCCTTTATAAGTTAGCTATAGAATTAGCTTGTAAAGGTTGTCTAGCGCTATAGTTATTTATTGTTTTTTAAAAGACTCTGTATATAGCTGTAGCACATTTCTTTAAGAGTTTTATGTCTTATTTAAAAGCTTAGAGCGTAAGCTATATCTAACGTTCTTTTAGCATGTCTAAGTAGTGTTGTTAGGAATGCATTAGTGTAGGAAGGGTAGTTTAGTAGGGTCTTAGCAAAAGTAAGCAACTTAGGTGTGTGAGCAACTCGCCTGTAAAGTACGTTATAACTTTTTTTATACTATATCTTTCTTTATAATATTTTTTTTGTTTAAGTAACTTTTATTTTTATATTATTACTTATTTTACTCTCTATGTAACGTACCTAACAGGTTGGCCGGCCACACAGGTTAGCCGGCCACTTTTGCCAAGCCCCTACCAAAACCACTCTATTCTAGCACAAAACAGCCTACTTTAGCCCTATATAAAGCAATACAACACAAGATATTATTTAGAGTCTACTTTTACTACTTTTTTACATATATGTAAGTTATGCCTAGTTTAATTACACTACCTACATTGCCTTTAACTTAGCTTACCTTCTTTAGCGCGCACTTGCGTCTTTAGCTTCTTTCTATTACTACGCGCTTTAAACTTCTTTAAAGTAGTTAGACAAGCCCTATTCTTAACTATTAAGGTTTTTTCTGCCTAAATTTACTTTTTTTTATGCAATCTATGTTACATAGCAGCCTTATTTACTGCTTAAAGCTCTATAATCTCCTTTTATGCTAACACTAGCTTGTGTGTAATAATTACTGCCTTTTTTAAAACTTTCTTAAAAGCTTCTACTATAGATGTTAGTAAGCTATTTATATGCTTCTAAATTCTTACTTTTATAAGCATTAATTATAACCTAAATTTAAAAGTATTACTTAGAGTTTATAACTACTAAGGCTTATTATTAATAAGTAATAGTAGTAATAGAGTACATAACTAGATATTAAGAGCTATTTTAACCTATTCTAGGTTAAATAAGACTAAACTAGCGCTTTAAAACTTTTTTTAAATATTACTAAAAGTAATTACTACATTATAAGTGTGTATAAAGCATAGTAAAAACTTAAGTTTTATAATATAAGTAATTTAGTTATATATAAGATCTTTAGCTTAGCGCTTATATACTTTTTTTAAAAGAGTAAAACAACCTATATTAAAAGGCTATAAAAAGTGTAATAAGTGTAAAGGTATATAAATAGTAATAATTTTATTTTTTTTATAGTACTGCTAAAAATTAAGCAAGTTATAGCTTTTATAGCTATTAATAATAAAAAGCTAATAAGCGCTTATAACTTTTTTTTATATACTTATTAAAGTGCTTTAACTACTACAGTCTAAGCTTATTTATTATCTAGCTGTTTTTAGAGACTATAATAACCTAGTTCTAAGGCAGATTTTTTTTTATACTAGGTAAAGAGGTAATAGCAGCCTTTAAAGATAATAAAAAGTAGAATAGCCTACTTTATTATATTAATGCTTTAGATAACTATTATTTACTTTTTATTACTTTACTATATTACTTTTAGCTATTCTTATTTTTTTTAAAGCTGTAACAACTACTCTAGTTAATATTTAGCCTATTATAAAGCCTAACTTATTAAAGTTATATATGTCTTTATTCTAGATACTATACTTAGCTTTTATGTTAGCTACTAGGCAAAACTAGCCTTAGATAACCTTTAGATTTGTGAGAGCACTGTGAAGCAGGAAGCGTGAAGCGCAGAAGGGGGTACAGGATAGTATTGATAGACGAATCCTTGAGGAGACTCAGGGGTTCGTAAGAGGATATATATATATATGTGCTGGGGCACGTGACGGGACGTCATGTGCCCAAGGCTGGGCCGAGGGCTCTCCGGGGAGAGTCCGAGGCATGTCCAAGTTGACTGTGACAAGATTCTTATAAAGCACCCTTTTATAATTATACTTATAATTAAACTTTATTATAAACTTAAGGCAGTGCTTAACTTATATACTAGGCTAGTTTAAGCTAACCTAGCCTAGATTACACTCTGCGCGCAAGAAATTAGCTATATTAGCTATAGCTGTAAGCCTAGAAAAAAATCTATATATAATAAGCTTAAGTATATACTTAATAACTACTTTTTTTTTAAGCTTAGTTAGATTTCTTAATTTAGGCTAGCATTCTGCTTCTAAAGGCTGTCTAGCGCGTTAATTACTTAGTATTATGTAAAAGACATTATAAATAGCTGCAGCATATTATAAGAAAAGTTTTAAGTCTTATTTAAAAGTCTAAAAAGTAAGCTATATCTAATGTTCTTTAGAAGATTTAATCTAGTGTTGTTGTTAAGGCATTATGTAGATAGGTAGAGTGTAGTAGGGGCTTAGCAAAAGTGGCTAGCCAACCTGTGTAGCCGGCTAACCTGTTAGGTACGTTATAATTTTATTTCTTCTTTTAATTTATTTATAAAATACTTATTAGTTTATGCTATAATATAATAGTTTAGTTTAATTTGCTATCTTCTTATATATTTTACTTTATACTACTAGTTTATATAATGTATAATACTTTACACTATTTTACTATCTTTTTCTATAATGTTCTATAAACTACTGTAAATTACTATAATGTGCTGCAATTTGCTACAATTTGATACAATTTGCTATAATATGCAGCACTTTACTATAATATACTGTAAATTGCTTTAGTTTACTATTGTAACGATTCTTACAAATCGTTCCATCTCGGGTCGCTCGGATCCTATCCGAAGGGTCCCCGTATCGGCCCCAACCATGACTCGACCCTGAACCCCGCAGTTACCCCTATTCACCCAAGTATTTAGTCGCACCCCTCCCCTTAGCTAGCTTAGTAGTTTTCTGATATCCTTCGTACAAGGCCTATAGGTGTCAATGGCATTCCCAGGTTCTGAGTCCCCACGCACTCCCATATGCCTCTGAGTGGATTCCCACCGCATTCGGACCCATTGTCTTGCCTGTGCCGTTACAAAAGGCTATAATTAAGTATAAAGTAAAGAATTTTTAAATTAGCAATTAGTTTTTTCCCTTCACTAGCTAATAGTCCGCTGTAGTGTTGACTAGCAAGGGTATCAGGGGCTCTGCCCCTGTCGGGGCTTCGCCTCTTCTCTCCCCAGTCGACTAAGCTAGCTGAGATAAAGTAACGCGGCATTAGGAAACCTCGTCTAGGTTAGTTTTGCCTAGCGAATGGCGGGCGTGGCATGTGCCGTGACATTATCATCGGCAAGAATAATAATGGTGTGCCACTTCACACTAGGTACTTATATACTAAAAGTGAGACTGAAGTAACTTAGGGTAGCGAGCTGTGCCTACAATTTCAAAGAACAAAACTCTACAAGATTTCTAAATAGAGTTACCTACCTTATATAGCTAACTCCCAACTACTTGTATTCTACTTAGTAAATCTAAGCTGGGATTATTAATTGCTTAATTGCTTATTCTCTCAATGAGCTGATCGGCTGTTCGATGAGTATTAGACTGCGCAGGTGTGAGTATGTATCGAGCGGACGAGGTTCCCGATTAGGTATATGTAGACTAAATTCGCGACTTGGCGGACTATTCCAAGCACTCGTGCAGCTAATAAGAGGCTAGGCTAGAAGGTCTAGTCTATAAATAAGAAAATAGGGTTGATAAGCAATTATTTAGAGGTATGACACATCGCGATTTCCCTTGGACAAACACAGTTACACAGATTACAGTCTATTAACCTTGTTACCCTCGCGCCCATTACTTTACAAATAGGTTGGCTAGAGTTATATTGTTAAATAACTTTAGACGAGCTCGTTGTGCTGCGAGCTGTTTAAGACGGTATTTCGCAGTGTTCAAGGCTTGACATATCGAGCCGACAATAGCCAGTGGACCCGAGTGGCAGAAGCCTGTTAAGCCTATCAAGGACATGATCCATGGTGTATAAGACCAGCCAGGGTCATCCTAATAGTAATGATGGCTTAGCGTTTAGGCAATTTGAATAGATCTGGTCTGAGCCGCTTAACACAGCCTATTAACGTAACTTCTAATAAAAGAAGAAACATCATACATAAGATTTAGGGGCTACTAGGTTAATACATAAAGAGAGTGCTCCTTCTTAGGTCGCATTTACTATAGCAAAAATCAGATCCTCCTCGAACTCCGCCCTAGTAAGCTGCGAACCTTCCACTACCTAGCATAATGAAGATACATATTGCGATTCTGTTTTGGGTGGTCTTTTTCACGGGCACATGGGTAAGTTTTGCATGTTCTCTCCTATTTTCTCTCCCCTAAACTGGAAATAGATGACTGCTAAGTCTTGCTCTCAACTAACGCTGATGAAAATAACTAGGCTACAACATGCACCAAGTCCAACGCCGTTTCCTTACTTGACTATACTAAATCAATGAAGGAGACGAACCGAGAAACAACCTGCTTTCTATGCAAGTTAGGCGCATGGACAACCGTTTGCCAAGAAATGTGCCGCCCTATAAAGCGAGATATTGAGATACCTAATATTGCACCTCGGGCAACCCAAATTTCGTGTTAGTAGTTCTTTACCCCCACACTGTGAAGAGTGTTCGAGAAACAATATACGGTTAACTTATTCTCTGGTATCGCAGGCCAGTCTAATGATGTTTGTACATATTTCGATCAATATTTGCTATGCTTCAGCCCGAGGTATGTGCTACCATTGAACTTGGCTTAAATATATTCGTGGTATACTTTTTCATACGCAAAGAGCTGTTATCTTATACTAATTACGCATTATGCTTCTAGTACAATGATTATTTACGACAATGAATCAAGAGTAAACCTTCTCACAGGAGAAGTAGTTTACGCCAACGGGACTCGCACAAACATATATTCCACCATTGGAGGGCAGCCAACACCTACGTCTATCCGCCCAACGACAGCAGCAATTTCTAGAGCCACCCAAGCGGCAGGTACCGCGTCCACCGCTTTAATTTCGCCTACATTAAAGCCTACCCAGAATAGTAGTTCACCTTCTCTAATATTTAAACTGTCTTCGTTTATTCCTATATGGGTTTCGATCTATTCTATCTTAGCACTAGCTTTGCTCTAATTCGTATGTAACTTCTAAACTATAGCCCCTAAGAGCCTTCTCTACCTTTTATCAAGAGGTGAGCCTCGGGCATTTAAGCTCCCGCTGATCAAAGATCCAGGTAGTAACCTTATAACAGTTGTACTTATACTCTCTCGTTATATTTTTCTCTGCTCCTTCTTTCTGTACTAATTTAACTACTGTAAGGCCGAGATGGTCCTTACGCGGGACGGGGATATATACTATTCTCTACGCAGAATCAACTGTTGGTTGATTATTCGCACCTTTTTAGTTGTATTAGCGTAGTGGTACAGAGCTCCGTCCTTGCAACTACAGCAGAATTCGTTGTACAATAGAAGTATATTAGTATTTATTTATTAACACATTGTTCTTTAGATAAAAAAATTAATTTAGAGTATAGAAGACTAGTGTTAGGATAAGAGTTTATTAAATAGAAGAATAATTATTTAACATTTAACATACATCATAGGCAAGTTGCTTACACACCTAAGTTGCTTACCTTTGCTAAGACTACACTATAATAAACTCTATTATAGCCTATAACAACCTGCTTTAGCTGTTAGATATGCGCACCTACTGTCAAGACAGGAGGAACGCTTGACAAAAGCTGCTACATAGTACGAGCAATAAGCTCGAACAGTATGTTGCTGCAAGCTGGTCGCGCATAGGGCAAGTGCGCGAGGGACTTGGATCGGCAAAACAAAAAGCCAAGCAACACGAGTAGAGCAGAAAAAGGATTAATAAATCAATATAATTAATCATCATCCTATACATTATATCCAAACCCATCATTCATCTTAGGAAGCCTAGAAACAGTGCTTTAATCTAACATTAGTATAACTTTATAGCAAATTATATAAACCCTTAAACTACTACTAATTCTAGTAGTAATCTACATAAATTTAAAGTCTTTATATAATTACTTTGTTAAGCTAGGCACTACTAGTAAAAAGTAACTTATAATTAACATTATGTTACTCTATAAATTATATAAGAAAAAAAAATTGCTAAGATTAAGTAAATTAATAGTAAAAACAACTTAGTAGATGTGTGTATAAAGAAAATACTAAATTAGAGTTTTTAATTATTAGTCCTAAGTAACTACCTCTCTGTCTAGATAGAAGCATCTGTAGACTAGCTAGATCCTATGCACAAAGATGCCTTAGACTAACTAGACTAACAACACCTTTATATAAGGCCTAATTTTTTTTTTATATTTTTTTTTTATATTATAAACACTTATTTTTTTTATTATAAGAATCTATTACTGCTAGCACTGTACGAAAAGAGAAAAGAGCTAGGGGATTATACAGCAGGGCTGAGAAAGTAGAGGATAAAAAAAAGAAAAGCTATTTACATAGCACAACTAGCTTATTCTAACGCACAGCATTACTAGGGCAAGTCCTAATAAATAAGGTAGAGTATAGGCAAAACATAATTAGATAGACCTATATAAATAGAAGAGAGGTAATGTGTATAGAAGGCAACTTTTTAAATAAAAAGAAAAAGTTTCTAGTGTCTATACACAGCAGTAGTGTTATAGTTTAGATATAAGCTATTGCGCATAAGCAGGATTATGTATTTATGTTACATAATGCTTGTGCGCAAACCTCTGTGCGCAAACATCTAGATATTCCCCTTTTTCTTTGTACAGAGGAAAAAGACAAGAACAATACAGAACTAGAAACATGTTGCTCTCACCCTACCTACCCTGTACACTGTGCACACTGTACGCTACTCTTACTCTTGCTACTTAAGTGCTTATACTATAAGCAGCTAGCTAACAGAGTCTATTCAACATTACACTTATATAAAAGGCACTAAAAATAAAATTTTAAAAAAATGTTCTACTATATGTGTTAGATTAAAGCACTGTTTCTAGGCTTCCTGAGATGAATGATGGGTTTGGATATAATGTATGGGATGATTGATTAATTGTATTCATTTTCTTAATTTATCGATCCTTTTTCTGCTCTACTCGTGTTGCTCGGCTTTTTGTTCTGCCGATCCGAGTCCCTCGCGCACTAGCCCTATGCGCGACCAGCTTGCAACATGCTGCAAAATGCTGCAATTTGCTGCAACATGCTGTAAAATGCTGCAATTTGCTGCAACATGCTGCAAAATGCTGCAAAATGCAGCAATTTGCAGCAACATACTGTTCGAGCTTATTGCTTGTACTATGTAGCAGCTTTCGTCAAACGTTCCTCCTGTCTTAACAGTAGGTGCGCATACCTAACAATATGCTAGTATTATATAAGCTTATTAAAGATAACTAGAACTAAAACATGCTATGTTTACTATTAAGCTTTTATATAAAGCCTTATTTAGTAACTTATAGGCCTTACTTTAAGTTACTATAAACTAAAAAGTAAACTAATACATCTAAAAACTGCCTAATGTGTACTACACTAACTGCTAATATAACTTTATATAACAAGAGAGAAGCTTCTTTTTATATAGAAGAGAATAATATAGAAGATTTTTATCTAGGTTTAGGCTACACTCTAAAGACAACTATATATAACTAAGAAAGTGCTTTGTTTACTATAAGTAAAAATGTTAGTTATTAAACTACTCTTATAATAACTATACATAAGTAAAGAACTAGTACATTACTTTATATATCTAAGACTTTAAAAGTTACCTTAAAAAAGAAAATAATTTGCATAATATAAAAAATATAAAATACAAAAATAAAAATACTAAAAAAGCTATTAACTACTTTACCTCTACTACCTACTTATACTATGTAACAGGAGAGGACATCTATAGCATTAAACCTAAGAAGTATGCTAAGCAGTTTATCCTTAATAACTAATACTATATAGTAACGTACTTTATAGGCGAGTTGCTTACACACCTAAGTTGCTTACTTTTGCTAAGACTCTACTACACTACTTTTTTTACACTAATGCATTTCTAACAACACTACTTAGATGTGTTAAAAGAATGTTAGATACAGCTTACACTTTAGGCTTTTAAATAAGATGTAATACTTTCTAAGCAACACGCTATAGATATTTATAAAGTCTTTTAAAAAATAATAAGTAACTAACACACTAGATAACCTTTTTAAGCTAATTATATAGCTAACTTATAAAAGCTAAATAATAATAAAAAGTAAGTAATTATTTAGCACATACTTAAGCTAGATACACAAGGATTTCCCCTCTAGCTAGCAGCTATAGCTAATATAGCTAATTCTTTACATGCTAAGTATAATATAGGCTATATTAGTATAAACTAGCTTAATATATTTATTAAGTGTTACTTAAAGCTTAAAGTAAAGTTTAAGTATAACTATAACTATAAAAAAACTTTTTATAAAAATTTTATAGTAATTTAAAGCTAGTTTAACTTTATAAAAAATATTAAAGCTAAGTATAGCATTTAAAATAATAACATATATAACTTTAATAAAATAAAGTTTATAATAGGCTAGATATCTCCTAGAGCAGTTATTATAAGTTTAGAGAGATAAGAATAGCTAAAAGCAGTTTAGCTAGGTAACTAGAAGTAGACAACAGCTATCTAGAGCATTAATGCTAAAAGGTAAGCTATTTTACTTTTTATTATTTTTTAGAGTAGTAACTACTTTTTAAACTAGTATAAAAAAGAAAATCTACTCTAAAATTAGGTTATTATAATCTCTAAGCGTAGCTAGACTACTAATTAGCTTAGTTTAAACTAGTTAAAGCACTTTAACACGCATATAAAAAATGTACTATTAGTAGCTACTATCTACTAGTTATTAACAGCTATAAAAGCTATAACTTACTTTATTTTTAGTAATACTATAAAAATAATAAAATTATTACTATTTATATACTTTTTTACTTATTACACTTTTTATAGCTACTTAATGTAGGTTATTTTACTTTTTTAAAAAAGGTGTATAAGCGCTAAGCTAAAAACTTTATATATAACTAGATTACTTATATTATAAAAATAAAGTTCTTACTATACTTTAAAGTAGCTTATAATGCTATAATTACTTTTAGTAATATTTAAAAAAAGTTTTAAAGCGCTAGATTAGTTTCTTTTAACCTATAATAAGTTATAATAGGCCTTAATATAAAGTTGTGCACTTTATTACTACTACTACTTATATATAATAAGCCTTAGCAGTTGTAAACTTTAAGTAATACTTTAAAACTTAAGTTATAATTAATGCTTATAAAAATAAAAATTTAAAAGTATATAAATAGTTTACTAACTTTTATAGTTAAGGTGTTTAAAAAGGTCTTAAAAAGAGTAATAATAATTATGCATAAGCTAGTGTTAGTATAATAAAAAATTACTAAGCTTTAAGCAGCTAATAAAGCTACTATGTAATATAAATTACATAAAAGAAAGTAAATTAAAGTAAAAAAAACTTTAATAATTTAAAAAAGCTTATACTTAATAGCTTTAAAGGAATTTAAAGCGCGCAGTAATAGAAAGAAAGTAAAAAAGCAGGTGTAAGCTAAAGTAGGTAAGCTATTCTAAAGGCGCTGCAGATAGTGTAATTAGACTAGGCATAACACGCAAATATGTAAGTAAGAAGTAGAAGTAGTATCTAAATAATATTCTAGGCTGTACTGTACTATATAGTGCTAGAGCGGGTTGTTATAGGCTATAATAGAGTTTGTTAGGGTAGGGTCTTAGCAAAAGTAAGCAACTTAGGTGTGTAAGCAACTTGCCTGTGAAGTACGTTATACTAAGGTAAATTATAGGACATAGGCGTAGTAAAAATTTCTACTATTAGTAAGTTCTAACTTAAGGCGTATATATAAGAGAACTTACATATAAAAATTAATTAAACACCTAGCTAAATAGATATTAGCCTTAAATGCTAGACACTAAAGAGATTAATTAGTACTATATAAATCTAGAACCTAATTAGTCTAGTTATATACTACATTTTAGAAACTCTAATACTCTTTCTACTATTACTAGCAGATGCTAACTAACTTAGAGTATACTTTAATAACATTTTAAATATTATTATATATAAAAATAAAACTACTGTCTTTATTATATAAAAATAAAGACACTTTTTTTTAATATTAGTAAAAAAAATTTTATGTTTTTTTTTACTAAATTAAA